TAGCACAGTCTTCCATACTGATAACACATTCATACTGATGTAGCACAGTCTTCTAAACTGATGACTCATTTATATGGCACAGTCTCTCATACTGATAACACATATATACTGATGTAGCACAGTCTTCCATACTGATTACACATATATACTGATGTAGCACAGTCTCCCATACTGATAACACATTTATATGGGACAGTCTCCCATACTGATAACACATATATACTGATGTAACACAGATTTCCATACTGATAACACATTTATATGGCACAGTCTCCCATACTGATAACACACATATACTGATGTAACACAGTCTTCCATACTGATAACACATATATACTGATGTAACACAGACTTCCATACTGATAACACATATATACTGATGTAACACAGACTTCCATACTGATAACACATATATACTGATGTAGCACAGTCTTCCATACTGATAACACATATATACTGATGTAACACAGACTTCCATACTGATAACACATATATACTGATGTAGCACAGTCTTCTAAGCTGATGACACATTTATATGGCACAGTCTCCCATACTGATGACACATATATACTGATGTAGCACAGTCTTCCATACTGATAACACATATATACTGATGTAACACAGACTTCCATACTGATAACACATATATACTGATGTAGCACAGTCTTCCATACTGATAACACATTCATACTGGTGTAGCACAGTCTTCTAAACTGATGACACATTTATATGGCACAGTCTCTCATACTGATAACACATATATACTGATGTAGCACAGTCTCCCATACTGATAACACATTTATATGTCTCCCATACTGATAACACATATATACTGATGTAACACAGACTTCCATACTGATAACACATTTATATGGCACAGTCTCCCATACTGATAACACACATATACTGATGTAACACAGTCTTCCATACTAATAACACATATATTGATGTAGCACAGTCTTCCATACTGATAACACATATATAATGATGTAACACAGACTTCCATACTGATAACACATTTATACAATGTAACACAGTATATACTGATGTAGCCCAGTCTTCCATACTGATAACTCATATATACTTATGTAACACAGACTTCCATACTGATAACACATATATACTGATGTAGCACAGTCTTCTATAGTGATAACACATTTATATGGCACTATCTCCCATATTGATAACACATTTATACTGATGTAACACAGTCTTCCATATAACACATATATACCGATGTAACACAGTCTTCCTTACTGATAACACATATATACTGATGTAGCCCAGTCTTCCATACTGATAACGCATATATACTGATGTAACACAGTCTTCCATACTGATAACACATATATACTGATGTAGCCCAGTCTTCCTTACTGAATACACATATATACTGATGTAACACAGTCTTCCATACTGATAACACATTTATATGGCACAGTCTCCCATACTGATAACACATATATACTGATGTAACACAGTCTTCCATACTGATAACACATATATACTGATGTAGCCCAGTCTTCCATACTGATAACACATATATACTGATGTAACACAGTCTTCCTTACTGATAACACATATATACTGATGTAGCCCAGTCTTCTAAACTGATGACACATGTATATGGCACACACATATATACTGATGTAGCACAGTCTTCCAAACTGATGACACATATATACTGATGTAGAGTCTCCATACTGATAACACATATATACTGATGTAGCACAGTCTTTCATACTAACACATATATACCGATGTAACACAAAAACAAATCTGTGACACTACACAGATGATATCAGAAATGGTACCATAATATAGTTCATACATACCCCATGCATCAGATGGAAAGGAGGATCCAACAGTCTGTATACACAGTTATCACATAGTCATAAAAGTTTGTATACACAGTTATCACATAGTCATAAAAGTCTGTATACACAGTTATCACATAGTCATAAAAGTCGGTATACACAGTTATCACATCGTCATAAAAGTCTGTATACACAGTTATCACATAGTCATAAAAGTCGTATACACAGTTATCACATAGTCATAAAAGTCTTTATACATAGTTATCACATAGTCATAACAGTCTGTATACACAGTTATCACATAGTCATAAAAGACTGTATACACAGTTATCACATAGTCATAAAAGACTGTATACACAGTTATCACATAGTCATAAAAGTCTGTATACATAGTTATCACATAGTCATAAAAGTCTGCGTACATAGTTATCACATAGTCATAACAGTCTGTATACAGAGTTATCACATAGTCATAAAAGTCTGTATACATAGTTATCACATAGTCATAACGGTCGGTATACAAAGTTATCACATGGTCATAAATGTCTATTTACATAGTTATCACTTAGTCATAAAAGCCACACTAGAGGGAACTGTCAGTGGGCTACTATAGGCTATCACAGTTACCTAAAGCATGGTGAGACGATCACGATCCAACGGAGGGTGAGGTTATTCCAGCGATGCCCTCATACTAGTCCGAAATCCCATCCCAATGGGGATGCCATTGTAATAGAGGTAGACGTCGGCGGTAGATAATGAGGAGGAACATTTGTGTAGGGTCGACAGGGATTTATGTCGGGACTGGTGGTGTAGGATATGGACATCCCCAGTTGGCTCTCGGTCAATATACATGAACACTAAAAAAAACGTCCTGAATGATATAATATATATCACTTAATACATGACTCTCATATATGCAATATATATCATGTTACACATCCAATCACGTTAATATACAGTTACCATAGTGGCCATGCCACTATACTATTAACACTTATCTAGTAAATGTCAATCAAAGATAATACATGTATACTATTATTACTCACATATATGACAACTATAGTTACTAATATTTATAATCATATTAAAAAAATAATACCTCACATCGTTTCAGGGACGCAGTCAGAATACGCCAACAGCTAATATTAGCATCTTATCTCAGTGAACATAATGAATAAAATATTGCCTTAGTATACTGCTAGTATATACATATACTAGGCACATAAAGAAACTGTGCATTGTCCAAAAATTTCCCAGTTGATTAATACGATAACAATGTCAAAGGTACTGTAATGGAGGGGTCATGAGATCATAACAAGTCGGGAGAATTTCAATTGAAAAGTCAATCACAATGAAGTCACGAGTCCACAAGCGGGACAGGGGTCAAACGACCATGTCACAAGCTCAATAACGGGTATGTCCACCATCGGCATTGAGAACAGCAGTGCATCGACGACGCATAGAGCCTATCAAACGTGCAAGGAAGGCTTATGGGGTGTCACGCCAGATTCTCTCAAGTTCTGTTGCAAGATCAAGGACGTTATTTGGCGGATGAGGAAGACGGCGTAGACGTCGATCCATCTCTTCCCAAACATGTTCTATCGGGGAGAGATCCGGTGAATTTGCAGGCCATGGCACTAAGTCAACGTTGTGGTGTTGCAAGAAATCCATAGCAACCCTTGCCGTATGAGGGCGGGCATTGACCTGTTGGAATGTTAACCCAGGGCCATGACGTTGCAGAAAGGGAATCGCCACAGGTCGAAGAATCTGATCCCTGTAGCCCACACCAGTTAAGTCGCCCTGAACAATCACCAAAGGAGTTCTTTGGCGTGCTGTTATTCCACCCCAAATCATCACGGAACCACCACCAAAGCGATTCCTCTCCAAGACACAGGCCTGTGCATAACGTTCTCCCATGCGTCTATAGGCACGTTGACGTCCATCACTATGGGAAATGTTAAACCTGGACTCATCTGTAAAAACAACATTTCTCCACCAAAACAAAGGTCTGCGGACATGATGTCGGCACTACATTCGGCCAGCTTGTCGATGACGTGGTGTCAGGATAGGCCGTATGGCGGGACGTCGTGGTCTGATCCCGTGATGACGTAAACGTTGTCGAACTGTGTTGGGGTGGATACGGCGAAGTCCTGGGATAGTCCGGGCAGTCATCACTGCAGTCTGAAACCTGTGGCGAAGATGGGTCACCCTTATCCACCTGTCCTGTCTTGGCGTTGTTACACGTGGGCATCCAGAACGTGGCCGATCGATGACCCTATTTGTGTTCTGGTAGCGTCTCACCAGTGCAGAAATGGTGTTCCGGTGGCAGTGGAAATGTGCAGCCACTTGTCGTTGAGACATTCCCCCACGGACCATCCCAATGGCCTCATGACGTTGTGCAGACGTGAGCCTTGGCATGCTATGCGTTTCAATAGCCATTTAATTTTTTGAACGGGCAGGGGTTGAGCTTTCCTAAGTGACAGTATTGTGTGGCATTCATTTGCTGTGTTTCTCTTTCCCGGACAGCACGTGCAACAACGTCTTGCACGTCTCAAGGACGAAACCACTGACATCACGGAACGTGGCACGTGCATGCATGTTGGATACATATTACTTATCTCTGAGTTGAAATCCTTATGTGTCTACACAGGTTTGATAAATTTAGATTTTAAATTTTGGTATGCACAGTTTCTTTATGTGCCTAGTATATATACATCATAAAATGGCTAGGACTACAAATAAATATACTCTTATCGACTAGGTACACAGTACCAGACACAACTAGGATAACCATGATTAACAAATTATATAAAGATATGAGGTATACCGATATCATGTATATTCAATGACAAACATAATATTTACTAGTTATGTCGTACAGGTAATTACTGACCTTACTGATCCTATTATACACATGCATATATTGACTACACCTTGTAATAAACATGCATGGTGCACATTGCTGTATCACGCCAGTCATAAAAGAGCTAATACACAGAGGATACTAAACGACCTTTCGTGCAATACACAGGAGTATCTTCCCCGGGCGAGTAATAAATGATCCATATACATGCTACGTATACATGATACAACCGACAGTATCATGGTGGTATGAAATACCATACAGCACAAATATACTCATACCAGAATACTAATGTACTGTAATAATACTAACTTTTTCAGGATTCACTACTGAGCCTGTTAGTCAACACAGACGAACACCTTCAGGATCCGCTATGAAGTCTGCCTTAATTGTGCTGTTGTTGATGGCTATCCTGGTGTCACAGACAGCAACAACGGGTGAGTGAAGTGAGGGACAGGCTTATAATGCCATTGGTAGGTGTCCTTATACTGACAGGGAGGGTGAGTGAAGTGAGGGACAGGCTTATATTGCCATTGGTAGGTGTCCTTATACTGACGGGGAGGGTGAGTGAAGTGAGGGACAGGCTTATATTGCCATTGGTAGGTGTCCTTATACTGACAGGGAGGGGATATATCATTATCAGGTCCCGACCGACGGGAGGGTGAAGGACAGGTATTGCCACAGAACTTATAACGGACGGAGTGGAAGGAAGACGAACGAACACAAGGAAGAGGCGGAGGAAGACACGAACCCGGAAGGAAGATACGAACCGGAAGAAGCGGAGGTGAGACACACCCCGACCAACTGACGGAAGGAACAGGGCCCAGACATGGAGAACCCGACCCCAGGCGACCAGACAACGGACCGAACGGACCAGACCAGACACCATGAATCCAAACGACCAAGACTCCATTCCAGCCACTCCGACATTGATCCACACGAACGGATCCCATGAACCGAACGGCACAGGCGAAGAGGCATGAAGATCCATGAATGCGGACCCAGACAGATCCACGAACTGCACACGAACAACCCGGGTAGAGGCACGAACTGCAGATGGTTGATTCATGACCAGAAATGAACCAGACACGAACCGGAGGCGGATCCATGAACTGAAGAGACGGATACACGAACCGAGGATCAACCGAAACGGATCCACGAACCGGAGGCATGACGGATCCATGAACCGAGGAAGAACGACGCGGATCCACGAACTGGATACGAACGGGAAGATGACACGGATATGGAACGGATCCATGGAAGGACACGAACCGGGACACACGAACCAGAAGAAAGGAAGAAGGACACGAAGACACATGAACCGGGAAGACACGAAGAGGCACGATCCACGAAGAAGAGGACACGAACATGAACTGCGGAGGCACGAACCCGACCAAGGACACAACTGGAGACGGACACGAAGACACACGAACCGGTAGACAGGCACGAACGGAAGAGGACACACGAACCCAAGGACAGACAAGAACGGACACACGAAGGTGATCCCATGAACAGGCGGACACACGAACCGGCGGATCCCGCGGAACGGAGATCCACGAACTGGAGGCACGAACCGGAGGATCCCATGAACCGGAGGCATGACACACGAGACACGAACCGAGAAGTGACCCAAGGATAACCGGAAAAGAAGACACACGAACAGATCCATGAACCAGACAGGAAAGGACCACACGGATCCATGACCGGTAGACAGAGGCACGAACCGGTAGATGGATAACCGGGTAGAAGAGGTGGAGGAAGAGGACCCAGCACAGAACTGCAGAAGCGGATCCATGAACACAAAGAGGCGGATCCATGAATGGTGAAAGAGGTGGATACATGAACGGAAGAAAAGGATCCATGAACTGCAGATGGAAGACATGGATGGCATGAACTGAGTAGACAGGAAAAGGATTCATGAACGGAGGGATGGTAGTGAAAGAAAAGGATACGGGAGGATGGTGGAAAAGGAGGAACTGGAGATGGATTCATGAACTGGATGGTAGTGAAAGAGGATAAAGACAAAAGGAACGGAGTAGATGGTAGTAGTGCGGATTCATGAACTGAGTAGGATGGTGAAAGAGGTGTTGATACATGAACTGGAGTAGATGGTAGTAAAGAAGTAAAGATTCATGAACTGTAGATAAAGATTCATGAACTGGGTAGATGGTGGAAGAGGTGGATACATGAACTGGGAAGATGATGTATTAAAGAGGTAAAGATATATGAACGGGGAAGATGGTGGAAGAGGTGCGATCTGGCGGAATCAGATGGTGGGATATGAACTGGGTGGATGGTATTAAAGAGGTGCCGGATCCATGAACTGGCAGACGGTGCAACAAAGAAGTGTTGATACGAACCGGGAAGATGATGCACAAAGAGGTGCTGGCATGAACTGGAAGAAGAACCGGGAAGAAGATAAGACGGATCCACGAACCGGGAAGACACGAACCGGAAGATGGATACACGAACGCGCTGATCCACGAACCCGGAAGACACGAACCGGCAGACGACGAAGACGACACGAACTGGACACGAAGATCCAGGAACGGATCCGGCGAACCGGACCGCGAAGAGGACATACGAACCGGAAGAAGATTCATGAACGGAAGAGGTGCGGATCTCATGAACGGATACGAAGAAGAAGCGGATCCATGAACCGAGTAGGAAGAGGTGCGGATACGAACGGAAGATGGTAAAGAAGGATACACGAACCCGGTAGAAGAGGCATTATATGAACCAGACGACACACGAACCGGAACGGATCCATGAACCGGAGCAGACATACGAACCGGAAGAAGAATATGGAAGAGGCGGATACACGAACGGAAGAAGGCGGATCCATGAACTGGCAGATGCGGACCCACCGGTAGCGATCCAGAACACACGAACCCGGTACGGATACGAACCGGTGGAACACGAACCCGGTAGACGGACCACGAAGAAGAGGTCACGAACGGTAGACGGTGAGGTGCTGGATACGAACCGGAAAGACGCAGGAAGAAGGATCCATGAACCGGAGGAAAGAGACGGATACGAACCGGAAAGACGGTGCGGATCCACGAACCGACACGAACCGAAGAATACGAACCGGATCCACGAACACGACCACGAACGACACGAACCGGATCCACGAACGGCGAACGACACGAACCGGAAGACGACGGACACGAACCGGAAGATCCACGAACGGATACGACGGATCCATGAACTGGCACATGACACACACGAACTGAATACGAAGACGGATCCATGAACGAAGAAGGACACACGACACGAACCGGATCCATGAACCGGACCAGAAGACGGATACGAATCCACATAACCGAACACACACGAAGGACACACGGATACACGAACCGGAAGACACGACACGAACACACGAAGAGGAAGACGACACACGAAAGGATAATACGACCCGGAAGACGGTACACACGAGGCGGACACGAAGGATACACGAACTGGACAGGAAGAGGATGGACACACGGATCCATGAACCGGCAGACGGATCCATGAACTGATCCATGAACCGGACACGAACCGGAGGATCCCAGGAACGGAGATCCCACGAACCGGGTAGAGGCGGACACATGAGAAGAAGGATCCCACGAACCGGAGGCACGAAGAAGAAGGACACACGAACTGCACGACACACGGGAAGAAGACATGAACCAAGGAAGGATAACCGGACAGCACGAACGGCACGAACAACCAAGGAAAAGGATTCATGAACTGGTGGACAGAGGATCCATGAACTGGAAGAGGCACACACGACCCGAGGAAGAAGATTCATGAACTGAGTAGAAGAGGACATGAAAAGACCATGAACCCAAGATGGTATAAACATTCATGAACTGGTAGAAGAAAAGAGAAGGAACTGGGTAGAAAAGAGGACAGCATGAACAGATGGTAAAGAAAAAGATTCATGAACTGGGTAGAAAGAGGTAAAGATTCATGTAATGGATGGTAGAAAGAGGTGGATCCATGAACTGGGTAGATGGTGGAAGAGGAACATAATGGTAGATGGAAGGACATGAAAGGATGGAAGAAAGATTCATGAACTGAGATGGTAGTGAAGAGAAAAAGATACATGAACAGGGAAGATGGTGAAAGAGGAAAAGATACATGAATCTGGGAAGAGGTAAAGGATACACATGAACTGGGTAGATGAAAAGGATATATGAATCCGGGTAGAGGTGGATACAACTGGGTAGAAAAAGACAGCCACACGAACCGGTGACGGTGAAAATACGGATCCGAACCGGTGACGCATTGATCCAGCGAACCGGTGACGGAATAACACGAACCGGATCCACGAACCGGAATACGAACGACGAAATACGATCCACGACACGAACCGGAAATAGCGTCGGATCCACGAACGGATCCACGAAGACGAAGACGACACACGAAAAGATACGACGAAGAAGACACGAACCGAACAACGGACACGAAGACGAAGACGAACCAACGGAAGAACGACCGAAGACGGACACGAACGACACGAACGAAATATCACGAACCGGAATACTGACACGAAGAATACACGAAGAAATACGGATCCATGAACTGGTAGAAGATCCACGACACGACCGAAGATCACGAACCGGATCCACGACGGAAAAGAGGTACACGAACCGGAAGATCCACGAACCGAAGACGGAATACGAAAAGACGAAAATACGGGAATACGAACGACACGAAAATACACGAACTGACGGAAAGACGTTGACACGGCAACGGATCCACGAACCGGTGACGATCCATGAACTGACACGAAATACGGATCCATGAGACGACACGAGGAAAGAACGGATCCACGAAGATCCACGAACGACGAAGAAGGAAGACATGAAATAACACACACGATCCAGGACAAAGGATCCACGAATGGACACGAACCGGAAATACGGAAGGATCTGAACCGGCGACGGAACGGAGGAAGGATCCAAGGACACACGTGAACCCCAGGCACACACGAGATAAACGAATGGACACACGGATGAAGAGGAAGACACATGAATGGAACAAAGACAGGAAAGATACATGAACGGAAGGAATAATCCAAGGATGAACTGAGGAAAGAGATGATGAAGGAAAGATGGAAGATGAAGGAAAGACCAAGGAAAGGAATGAAGGAAAGATGGAATGAAGAGAAGAAGATGAAAAGGAAAAGAGGAAGACATGAACAGATAAATGGACATGAACGGAAAGGAAGAGGAAGGATACATGGAAGAAGGAAGGAAGATTCATGGAATGGAAAGATGGAAGATCTGAACGGAGGAAGACATGAACGGAGGAAGAAAGACTATGAACTGGTAGATGAAGAGGAAGATGAAGAAAAGGAAATGAACGGAAGATGAAAGGATACATGAAGGACCGGAATGGATGAAAAGAATAAATGGAAAGGACATGGAAGGAGGAAGAAATATGGATG